GCTTATTGCAAAAGGGTGAATTGGTTCAATACATTGGAACTGTGATCATAAGGCCATTATATAATCGATATCAAAATTCATCCATCTTGTAATTTTCTTCTTTTTTTTTAAAAAAAAACAATATATATTCATGGCTGATGCTGAGATTTATTGATGTTGAAATTTTGGGATTCTATTTGGACTAAAGATGCTAGCGAAATTAAACTGGAATGATGAAATAATTTCACTACTATTAGTGAAATTAATGTTGAATTGGTGAAATTTGGTGAAATTAATTTCACTTGCATCTCTAATTTGGATATATAAAATATACTTCTATTAATCTTAATCTTTAAATATCAACCAGATGCGTAAATTTAAAATTATAATAGGCCTAAATCTCAGCATCAGCCACAACAAAAAAAAATATATGGCATAATTATTCCAACTAAAACTTTCATCAATTATGTAGGTCTATTATTGTAAATAAATCTAATTTATGTATGAAAGATCAGTTACCACAGCCCTTTGCTGAAAAAATAATTGATACTAGCAATTTAGCAACGCATTTAATATATACTATGAATGATTTAGAATCTGCGAGCGATGCCTCGCGTAAAAGAGTAGAGAAGGAGTCAAGTATCATGAAATGGAACGAAATCGCAAGTATTATGTTTTATATTTTCACACAGGAGGTGTTATATATATATTTATATTTATATACTTATTTATTGTTTAATTTTGAATTGAAGGTTGGGGTTATTTGGCTTGACAAACCAAAAAAAATATGTTTTCTCGTGTTTCCAAATTCTCAAAGAACGTGTATTACGCTCAAGATATCCCCTCGTCCGAAGGAGAAATTTATTGTAATTCTAAAGACTATAAGGGGTGATGAGCCTTTTTCAATTCAATCATGTTATCGACCGCTACCTTCCCCAACTGTTAAGGATGAAATTGCGTATCCAATCAAGATGGTCGTTTGTGCAAACAAATATAATGAATTACCAGAGATGTGTAAAATTCGACCATATGTCGGAATATATGGCAATGAAAAAATCATTGAAGTCCAAGAAATGGTAGCTGCTGTTAAAGCATTGGGAGGGATTCAAGACAAGGAGTTTGAAAATAATATGAGTTATGTTTTAGTAAGTATTTGCTTTGTTTAATATTTAGCTAATTAGTTACATTTTGTTTACTAATATTTTTTCTTTCATGTAGATTCATGTAGACAAAATTAATCAAATCAACTATATACCTCGTCTCGTTGAATTAAAACGCACGAAATGCAAATTCCTTCAGTTTGGATGGGATTCTATGTCTCCCGATTCAAAATTAAAAGAGATTTTTCCACAGGGTATTTATTATTGTTCAAAAATCCGGATATTATGGATAAATATTTATAATATTTGATATTGTTACTTCATTTTTCAGGTGGGATAGTTACTGTCACACCAAAGGTTCTATACTATCGTGAGGTGAATTATCTCGATAGAATTTGGGCGATTAAAAATTTGGTATGTATTCTGGTGTTATACACCTGTCTAGGATCAAGCAATTAGAAGCATTTCTATTCAACATAGTTATTGCATGTATAAGTGATTTGTTTCTATTGTGTGGTATTGTTCATTGGAAAGTTCTGCTGTATTATTTTACGAATTAACTACTTGTTTCAATAGCAAAAAATAGCAAATAATGCTATTTGGAGTATTCATATTCATCCAAACATGGTTAAATGCCTGGAAAGTATCGCAAATCAGGAAAGGTGCAAGAGGTATTTTAATAATTCAATATTTATACTTAATGTGTCCAATTCAGCTATTAATCATTATTTGCTCTAGGGCTGTGGAATCTAGCATTCATCTGAAAAGTTTGTATAATCTAGGGAGGTTTGATTATTTTGATGACAATGAAATTTTGGAATCCGAGGTAAATGCATTATTTCTTTTTATCCGAAATAAATGCATTATTGTTAATGTAAAACACTTATTTTTGTCTCACTTGACAGAAAAATATATCTGCCCACTCTTTATATAATGCTATGTTGCGCCTGCATAAGATTTACGCAGGGTATTTCCGTCATTTTGTTATTGTTCAAGATGAATCCGAAATAGATGAACCAAATATTCAAATACCTGGTGTATGTAGATTTTGTTTGCTATAATTCTTTCTTATTTTAGAACATTAATATCAATATATCTATTAATATATAGGTCGAAAGGATGACTTTTTCGGAATTTAGATCGATATTTGGATCGCAGTGAAGGAAATTAAAGAGAAAATCTTGGTACAGTTGTCAAAATTTATATATTGATGTGTATACATGTGAAGATAATATTTCTGCTGCATATGTTGGATTAAAAGGCTTGTGTAGTCCAATCTTTATGAATAAAAAATTCTATGGAATTTAGGTTTTAAAATTACAGCTTGCTATATTTTTGTAGTTATCATTGAATGTAGACAAACTTAATGTTACTTGCTAAAACACTGAGTTTCGATAGCTTTTTAACGAGTTAGATATATGCTGATTTCTAAATATAAAAGCTTTGATAACTTCACATTAAAAAATTATTTACACCATTTATTAAACTAGACAAAGAACGAGTCTTTTCAATATTCAGAACCATGATGTATAATCCTCCGATGATATAATGACCATCATGCAATGTTTGATACTGTGCAAGTCAATTTGAATGATCTAGAATGAGGTGTTCCGTCTTCTTTTTTCTTATTATAATTATTGTTATTTGACTAGAAGTATTAACTACGATAAAACTTTAATTACAAAATTATATATATATATATATATATATATATATATATAGAAATCTAATTCTTGAAGGTGATAATGTTATGAATTGTACTGTATATTTATGGATTGGGAAGGATGATTTCATGAATGCCTTAATGCCAAGAAAAATACCTATTCTAAACATGAAAATAATTCTAAGCATGAAAAAAAATTAATAATTCTAAATACAAATAAAAAAAAAGATACACATTAAAACAATTAAGATTTGTGTTATAAAACAATATTTACAATTCTTAAACCTAATTAGTTGATCGAATCTTTAGGTATGTCAATATTTGTATATATCTATGTACGATATTTACGATTCCAGGACCTGGAAAACCTCACAATCTACAAGCTCAGAAGTTTCACATTCCACAAGTTCAGAGAAATATTTATTAAATTCACAACTTCTT